AATTATTAGGTTAGGGTGTTTTGTGTCATTTCACACCTCATTAAAGGTTAGAGGGTTATATAGAGTTATTTTTTGGTGTTGAGAATAGGTATTGAGAGAAAGTGTTAAATAAGATTTTGATAAAAATTTGGAGTTATTAGTTTATTTTGACATGTGGTTTCTATAACCATCTTCTTCCATCATTGTTTGGTTTTTTTTAATTTAAAAAAAAAAATTGATAAAAATTTGGTTTTACATTTCTATTAATGTTGTGTTTTTAAAAATATGATTCACTTTTCATATAACTCCTTTTTATTTTTATGTTTTGTTTCCAATCTTTCACTTGAGCAGTATTTTTTGTCTTCGTGTTTGTATGATAAAAGTTATAAATGCCAAAATAATACCTTCACTCCAACAACAACGATAACGACTATATATGGTTCGTACAAAACCAAACAAAGTATACAAAACTTGGAATTTCTCTCACTTTTTGTTCACAGAACGATCACGAACATATAGAACCAAAACAAACGTTAAGTTCTCCTTACTTCTCCTTTGGAATCTTCATGAGATACCATCTCCTTATTTTTCCTTTGTGCCAAGTCAATGACTATATTACTCATAATATACATATAACTATTATTCATTACACGTTTTTCTCTTGCTTTATATGTCATAATTATTATTCCAACCTCACCCCTTGGGTTTAATCATAAGTGGGATCAATACCATGACTCGATAAATGATAGATGATGAATAAAACATAATTCGTTATAGATTCGTGTTTGTTACAGCTGAACATTACATTTTCTATATTTTCAAGATCATTATCTAAAAATCAAATCTTGGGCAGGGCGCGTCGTACACTAGTAAAACAAATATTTTGTTAATCATAAAATGTTTTAAAATCAAATGTTTCAAAACTGAAAAACTAGTCGCCTTTTAATGCTTCTGTGAACCCTAGAAAGCACAAAAAAAAAACTTCTTATTTGAGGTTTTGATCCCAAACTGTTACCATTTTCTCACAATTACAGAGGTTTTCTAGGGTTGATCTCCACCTTCATCGATTTCGTTCTGCTAATTTATTGAACCAAATCACCAATCATGGAAAGAAACAACGCACACAACGATCAAGGTAACATAAAAATCTCTGCTTTTTAAAACCCTAACTCTCTTGCGTTCTCTGTTTCTTCTTTTTTTCATGAAGATTCGACTCTGTTTTCGAAACAGAGCCTCAGATTA